TAAATTAATTACTCTCACTATTTTCTTCAAGATGATAATCCTCCTTATCACCTCAAGAGATCTCTACAAGAATTCTCTTAATGGACTAGGATTCCTATCCATTCTAATCATGACCTTGGGTGTGTTCAACAAACCATGATAGGTGAATTAAACAAATAACTAAGCTTACCAATTATATCTCTATACAACTTCTAGTTCAACTAGATGACAACACATTACCTAAACATATCATATATGTTTCATCTAGCCATTGCCTCTAGTTTCCATAATAATTAAGTTTTTAAGCGTCCAAATTTTATGAAACTAGTTGGGTAAGACCTACCAATAGCTCAAACATACTTGTATAAAAGTGTGACCTTAAGTGTGTTAAACAAGTTTTCGATTAAAAGAGCAACCAGTTTATCTTACTATATGGTGGAAGGCAACTTAATCATACATGGCATATGACTCAATATTTACCAAGGGATTTTTTTTATTTTTTATTTAGTTAAGGTCTTATCTTTGCATGCATAGTATTTATTAATTACATAAAATAAATCTATCTCATGCATACTACTTTACATTACATAGCATTTATTAAATGGCATAAAATAAATTTATCGCATGCATTCTATTTTGGATGATTATGGACTTTATTTATACTAATTTCTTTAAGCCATCGAAGGAAATTAGCTTGGTCTAACCTAGAGGATAACATACAACATATTGTAATCTTCCTCCTTGTATCTTCATGGCACCTTTAGGTCTTCATCTTCGAATTGTAAAATAACTCCTAAACTAACCATAATTCTACACTTATATGTAACTAATTACATTTAATAAAGAAACCTCATAGTACATATGAGGGGAGTTAAGTGAGGAGAGAATTTTACAATCTTTGAAAATCAAGAAAAAACCAAAGTGCATAGACCTTATTTAATAGATAAATACCATGATAAAATGTAAACATACATCTACAATCTTATTGGGCTTAATCCATAATCATCCACATTTATCCATCAAGATGAACGTAAAATTAAACTATGTCCTATTCTAATTGTTTATCATATGAGGCATCCAAAATTATGGAATGTCTTTACTAATCAGTATTAGGAATATTATCTATTCATAATCTTATTATGATTAAAATTAAAATATTATTACAAATTAAACCATTTTTAATTCATAATCTTTAAATGTTTTAATTAACTTTTACTAATCCTTTTAAATTAAAGATTATGTGTTTTCAATTATCTAATCTCATTAGACAATTTAAATCTAATATTTAAGAAAACATTATCTTTAATTATATTTAAGTGTCCTATTCGAATTTCTCTTCTTCAACAAAGGAAATTACTTCATGATATTTATCTTGTCCATATTTATCACATTTTCATATTTATAGGAATCAGATTCTTAAATTTATGGATGTGATTAATTAAATTCTGATATCTTTATTTTAAGGAATCAAATTTCTTAATTTAAATATATCAAAATTTATATTTCTAGAACTATTTCATAAGATATTATTTAGTGAACTAGTATTTTTAATTATACCAATTTAGGTTGCAAATATAGACACTAAAGTCCCAAAAATCATGACTTTACAAAATTCTAATTTCATTAAACCAGTCACGATTTTGTGGCTTGATGTGGGAACCAATTAGGGAATTTAATTCCCAAATTTTAACCATGGTCAGCTAACATATAGAACCCTCTCATAGTAAAATTTTATAATTATTGGACTTGATTTAGCTAGCCAAAACCCCAAAAAACTATAATCTATGTATTATGTACATAGCTACAGTTTTTGGGTTGCATATGTGGCATTATGGTGGCATAAATCAAGGGATTAAATATCTTAATTTTAGTAATCTTTTCAGACATCTTTTGAACATATTCAAACTTTGAAATTTATTCAAAAAAGTACAAAAATTACATAATTTTAGAACTCTTTAAAGATAACTTTCTCAGCCAAAATAGTGACTTGAAACTGCTGTTGGCAAATAATGGTTTTAGCAACGACTTCATGGCCTTTCCTTCACCGTTTGCAACTAGTAAGCAATCATATTAAAACACTTTCAAAGTAGATTACTTTTAAATTTTTTAGAATTTTTAAAGGCTTTTAAACTCTTATTAAAAGTTGAAAATTGAGCCATATGCAAATTTAAACAAAATCAAATTTTGTCATCAAACCGCACCTTCTTTCCCTTGAATTCGAATCTTTTTCTTGCCAAACTCTTTTATGCATCTCATGCACATATTGTTTTACAAAAGTAAGACACTTAAACAAGATCAGTTGTTGAAATAAATAAGTACTAAAAATAAAAATCGAATCTGTGATAAGCTACTTTAAAACATAATCGAAATTTAAAACTTACTTGATCTCTTCCAAATGCCTCCCATCCAATCAGAATTGGAATTAAACAATAACAAGACATACCTTTGCATTAAAACAAGCCAAAGGAGACTCTGATACCAGTACTAGGAATGGCATGATTAGAACATCAACATAGCATATTAACAAAAATTGAAACAAAATAAAATATACCTCTTACGTTTATATCACCTTGGTTATTTAATGCAAAGTTAAACATCATAGAAAATTTTAAAAAAAAATTTTACCTTTCCAAATGATATCGTAATCAAATTGATTCCTTTTAATGCTAAAAACATGAACACCTTTTTATGTAAAAGAATCCTAGCCATTCAATCGTTTGGCCTCCAATGTTGCACACACAATTACAACAAAGTCCTTATCAAGGAAAAGCTTTGTGCAATGGGCTTGTGCTAGCAAGTAGACAACAATTTGTCCTTTTTTCTTTTTTAATTTTTAGTAAAGAATCAATGGAGAAGTTTTCTTAAAAAGGCCTCTCAAGAGTGGTCACAGAAAAAACTATTAGTTTTTTTTTTGTTACCTTTTTAAAAGAATAGCTACGATGTAATATTTATATCTAGGTTTAATTTTATTATTGAGTTATTAAAATTTACAAAAAAAAGTCCTTAATATTATAGCAATTATAATCTTTAACTAACGCCTAATTAAACTCTTTTAATTAGGTCTTCAGTAGTTAAAACTTAAAATTTGATTTAAATCTAACTTAAATCATCACACTCTCAATTTAATCCAAATTGCAACCTTTGTGTGTGATCCATTAGGTTCTTAACATGTTGGCAATAGGATTGAATTATAATTTTATTAATTAATTAATTTAAATGAATCATATTCAATTTTAATTAACTAATTCAATTTCATAAATCAATATTGACATCTAATAACGCATCATAGCCACTCAATTGTTAGAAAAGTTAAAAAATTCTTTGACAATCTTTTAATGTATAGTTTATCAGTGTAATTCATTCCTTCATTATATATTCTAAAAATGATAAGGGCTTGGTGTACTCTTATTGACTTCTATATTTGTTCCTGCAGTTAGATCATTAGCTTTGTGGAGAGTTATGAAACTCATTTTGTAATCTTCTAATCACGTTAGCGAATGATTTGATTAAGCTAAAGTCAACCAAGAACTAATGAGATATTTCCCCTTGAATCATATGGGGTACTGATTCTTATCTTGACCACTCATTTGTTTTCATATGTTTCATACTATACCTAAAAATATCATATTTTGGCATCCTTGGTTAAGCACCCATAGAGATGAAATTAAAGCATAATACTCCATATACAAGTAACCTAGTGTCTTAGGTTTAGGGAATAGTTACACAACTGACACATAAGAAGTATTGCATAGACACTTGAGTGAGGTACTAAGTACAGTTCTCATGGCGGGTCATGTTCAATGAACTCACTCTCCCAAGACAAGCACGCACATGTTAGTTTCGAGTATCTCTATATTTCAACCTATGTGAGCAATTGTTTACTTCACAAGTAAAGAACATAATATGTGTCGATCTTTGAGCAATATTGATACCTCGTCTCAATAATACAATGATCATGAACTTTTAAGAACAATACTTTGATGCATAATGATTTCATAATTATCCTAATACAATTCTTTTGCGAAGCATATATAGTTCCATTTGCTTTATCTATATAAGTACAAAAAGTATTTAAACTATAAACTTATGAATAAAGTACTACCTCAATGTTATTATAAATAACAAATATCATACATGAATATCTCAATATTGTAATTCCCATTCAACCACAGGTTAACTTATAGGGCTCATATTAACATTACCAACTATGCTTTTTCTGATAAAATTTCAACAGAAAAATCCATCAAAATTTTTATCGGTATTTGTACTTACTAACAAAATTTCAACTATTACTTATAAAATTTTCTGTCGGTAACGACTTTTTTTTTTTTTTGTAGTGCTTGTTTAATACAATGCATAAGCTTATTGGGTGAAAGTCACTCCAATGCTCAGGATTAGAATTATTAGGTAACAAAACAAAAGTTGTAAAAGTTACCCTTTTCGACAAAGTCCATCCATGAAAACAATCTGTAATAGCAAATTATGAAAACAATCTCTAATAGCAAACAAGGTTAAAAATCTAGCTAAAAAGAAACGATCACCCATAATCAAAAGTATGGATTATGAACACACCATACACATTAATAAGTAAGCAAATTACAATTCAATTTTTCAAACTCGTTATAATTTCCTTTTAATTTTTGTTAAGGAATTAATCAACTGGAATTTGATCATGTTTATAAGCTTACTTGATTTTTTTTGTGAAGAATAAAGCAAGTCAATAATTTTACTTGAATGTGCAAAAAAAACATAGATAGTTTAGGAACTAAATGCATATTTGAGAAGAAAAATACATTAAGGAACTAAATGCACATGCAAACAAGGAAAGAGAAAAAAAAAGAAAAGAGAACATTGAAACGGCACGCTTTGGAGGTCGAGAGAGCGTGGGAAAGTAGCCGTTAGAAAGACACCTCATGCATCAAATTGTCACTAGCCTGACCGTTAGAACACCTTCCCCAAAATTCAAAAAAAAATTTGACCGTTGCGCTACTCCAACGTTTAACTCCAATCTTCCCCTCCTTTCCTTCATTTACCACCAAAACACATCTTCCGAAATCTTAAACCGGAAACCGAAAATCCAGAGACATTCCGATTCCATTTCTCTCTCTTCAATCCCCCGCCCCCCTAACCCACCAAGAAGAAAATAAAAAGCAAATCTCTCTGTTTTGAATCCGATGGATGAATCAAGTGGGACGATGATCGACGAGTTATACGAGTTCTCGGCGCCGCGTTTCTTCGACTTCCTGAAAGGAGAGTCGGAAGAAGATACTGGCAAAGCAGAGCTCTGGTTCGAAACCGCCTTAAGCTACGCCCCTTCTCGTATGTTCTTTCTCTTTTTGCCTTCCTCTTTCTTTCTTTTTTCTCTATTTCTTCACTGCAAAATTACTAGAATTAAGTTCTCTTCAACGATTATATTCCTTGAATCATTTCTTTTCTCTGAAACTGAATCATTTTTGTCGGCGGTTCTTGATTTTCTTGGAATTTTAGGTTTTTTAGTGCATTTCATCATTGATTAGTAACTCGTGATTCCCGATTTTAACTATCTATTACTGAATCGTGTTCCAAAATTGTAGGGTTTGAGGACCTCGTAATTTGGGGAAAAGGGAAAAAAATTTTATCAGATAATTCGAGTACGATTATTTCCACTATTACTGAACCCCGTTCTCCCACATCTTTTCAACGGGTCAAATAGGTCACTGTTGATCTATGGTTTCATCGATGAATGATTTGTGTTGGGTTGCTTAGATAAGATAGGCAAAGAAAGGAAAACTGATATGAATTGACCTAATCATCATTTCTCCTCTCAAAATATTTAGTTAAATGAATTAAAGCACAATGTAATTAGGTTAATCTTCAAGGATTTGAAGTTCAAATTTAATCATGGAGTTTAATTCAGTTTCCATATATTATCTGCAACCAAGCAAAACTGTTGTATTTTCTATCAAGGAGAAAACTGGAGATTTCATTTCCTTTTGGTTTATTTCCATAATGCAGCTTTTATGGCTAGAATCAAGGCTGGTAATAGATCCTTTCAAGTGGAAAGTCTCTGCAATTTTACTGAAGCGGATCAAATGCAGAAGGTGGAATTACTTTATCCTTGCTAAATTCAATAGCTTATAAAGCAATTTCTCTCATTCAATTTGGTCATGGTGAATATACTATTGCTGCAGGCTTCGGAATCATCAGATGTAACAGCTCCCAACAGTACCTCAGAAGAAAACGCTCAATTCGAGCCGGTGCCTGATAAAGTGAAGGAAGATGAAGTTAAACCCTCAGAGGCAAGGGTTGAAATCAATCAAATGGTCACTCAGGTAATTAGCGAATTTTTTTTATCCATTATCTTACAGATTATTCTTCTGATTTCTCATGAGTATAGCTGTGTCGCAGATTGCTAATGATAATAAAGACAAGGAAAAATTAGGGACTGTATGTGGTCAAGAGAATGGAAGGTATCTTTGGATTTTGCATATTGTCAATACTGATGAAGTTCCATTTATACTCGGATTCTCATCATTGTATTTTTTGTTCTTTTCTGTCGATTTTTCAGTGCCCTGGCTAAAAAAGTGCCTTCTACTGTAACTGGTGATAAAGAGAAGAGCAAATCTTCTGTGCAAGTAGAAGTTGAAGCTTACACCCCTCAACCATTGATGAATCTTCAGAAAAAACTGGTGAGTGACCGGAAGCACCAGACAGCTAAAAAGATAGCTAGCATGGTACGGAATCCATCTGCCTTGAAGCCAAAAAACCGGTTTCAGGGCAGCAGTGGGACTCCCAATTTGGCTCAAGAAAACCAAGCCATTAAACGTCAGAAACTAGACGGAGGGAGATCTAGACAGGTATCTTATATGCTTTCGTCCTTTTGCATGTTAACTACAGTTGTTTTGTAGTTTTTATCTGAAGTTTTGTCCCTCTGTTGCTACCCTTCTATATCTCAGATCCTAAATGTAAAACCCCACAATTTGCCCCATAAGTCAAAACTTGGTATTACCAGTGGCAGTTCCAAATTGTGCTCTTCTACCGCTAAAACTTCTAACAAATTGGAAAGAAAGGTGTGTTTCTCTGTGCTAAGTTGCTTCATTGCATTTTTTCACTAACAATTGTGAGTTAGTGTTAAACAATCGGTTTATTACCCTTTAAGGTTTATCTTCGGGAACCAGCAGCACCTTTTGTTTCAATGGCAGAAATGATGAAAAAATTTCAATCAAGTACCAGAGATTTGTCGCTTCCTCAAAGCTCTCTGTCACATGTAAATAAGATACCTGGCTCCAACATGGATTTGGTTTTTTAATTCTTTTCAGTTCCTTTTTCTTCTTTCACAAAATTCCTTATGATTAATCAGGATGATGCTATTTCTGTTCAGATGAAACCTATCAAATTGACAAGGCCCAAAGAACCTGAATTCGAAACAGCGCAAAGAGTGCGCTCGGTAAGAGTGAAGAGTACCGCGGAGCTTGAAGAAGAAATGATGGCTAAAGTTCCAAAGTTCAAAGCAAGACAATTGAACAAAAAGGTGCCTAAAGCTTATACCATCTATGATTTCCAGCTCTTATTTGGCTTTTCAGTATCGAACTGATCTTTCTTTGTTCTTTACTGTTTAAGATATTTATAATAAGTTGCTAAACTAATTTGTTTTCCATTTCCTTCTCTCGTGCAGATTTTTGAAGCCCCAACACTACCTGCCTTACCAAGAAGTACTCCAAAGCCTCCAGAATTTCAGGTAAATAGGTGGCAGCATGAGATGAAAACTTGAAGACAGTGTTTGCTAATCAGACTAAAAAAGTTTATTTGTTTCAGGTATTTCATTTTAAGACAATGGAAAGAGCCAATCAGAATGCGGAGACTTCTTCAGTAGCTTCAACAGAGGTGTCTCGTCAGGTTTGGAGAACTATAGCTTTCATTTGATTCACTTTCTTTTGAAGACCCTGAACACTTACCTTTCTCTCGCCTTTTTCCTCATTCCTTTTTGGTTCACTACTTTCTGTAACAGAATAATCAGTGGAAACCTCATCTCACAGAACCTAAAACACCTGTACTTCAAACATCATTAAGGGCACGGCCTCCAAAGGTCAAAAGTTCTATTGAACTTGAACAGGAGGAACTTGAAAAAGCACCTAAATTTAAGGCAAGGCCATTGAATAAAAAGGTACTCTCTCGATCACATCAATTCCGATCGGTATGTAGCAACCATAAACCTTCAGTAACACAAATTTTTGCTTGTGTAGATATTTGAAAGCAAAGGAGAATTGGGTATCTTCTTTAATGCAAAGAAACAAGTGACTATACCTCAAGAATTCCATTTTGCAACAAACGAGAGGATACCACCAGCAGCAGTTATTGATTTATTTGACAGGGTAGTTGTACAAACGCACCAGTTACTTATTCTACTGGTCTTAGCACATATAAAGCAAACATAGCATGTATGATAGATACCTCTCTACTGGTACTCATTACATTTTTTGTTATCCTTTACAGCTTTCTCTGAAGTCAGAACCTAGCCACGATCCAATTCCAAGAAACACCATTCTCAATCCATTCCATCTCCAAACAGAGGTATACTTTTTTTTTCATTTTCTTCAGGAATGGTATAATACTAGAAAAAATAGATAGTTGTGCTTTAACAAGTCCCAAATGGACGTACTTCAGGAAAGAGGAGCTGAGAAAGAAAGGAAACTTGTGATGGAAATTATAGAGAAGCGATATGAAGAGGAAAGAGCCAGGGTTCCCAAGGCTAACCCATATCCTTACACCACTGACTACCCTGTGGTATGCTTAATTTCTTTTATTTCTCATTTCAATGTTTTAGTTACACATAATAATAGAGAATGTGCGTTAATGGTGATACTTGTGCAGATTCCTCCAAAGCCAGAATCCAAGCATTGTACAAAACCAGAACCCTTCCAACTGGAGAGTCTGGTGAGGCATGAGGAGGAGATGCAAAGAGAGATGGAAGAAAAAAAGAAAAAGGAGAAAGAAGAAGCCCAAATGAGGATCTTCAAGGCCCAGCCAATTGTGAAAGAGTAAGAGTGATCCACAATTTGTGATCAGCATTTATAAAGTTAAAAGAGATCTTGTAGATTAATCCTTTCTATTTCTTGCAGGGACCCAATTCCTGTTCCAGAGAAAGTTCGCAAGCCTCTGACACAAGTGCAGGAATTCAATCTCCATGTTGATCATAGAGCGGTGGACAGAGCAGAATTCGATCAAAAGGTAAATTCCAGCTTAATTGGATCAATAAAATAAGCCGCCTCTCTTGTATTGGATCATTCTCATTAAGGGTTCGGTTTTTTACAGATTAAAGAGAAGGAAATGATGTACAAGAGATACAGAGAGGAGAGTGAGGCTGCTAGGATGGTATGCATGCGCACACATTTATCTTCTGTCCTACATTATATACTGCCTGTCTTGAGAATTATAATAACATTATTCTATATATCGGCAGATCGAGGAAGAGAAGGCATTGAAGCAACTGAGAAGGACAATGGTTCCCCATGCTAGGCCCCTTCCCAAGTTTGACCATCCTTTCTGCCCACAAAAGTAAGAAAAGTAGTAGTATTGCAGCATTCCTGTTTGGCTGGCGACTATCCTGTATTGATTTTTTATATTGGCCAGGTCTTCCAAGGAAATAACAAAACCGAAATCACCAAGTCTACGTGTTCTCCAAAGAAAAGAAAGGAGGAAAATGATGATGACGGCTGCTGCAACTTCCAGTCCCGCCACGCTTATGAGATGAATGATTGTTTGGTTGATGGACAAGGCAGCCTAGCCTGCGCGTGTGTTCAAGAACTTTTGAACCCCTGTGAGACCACCACCATTATTGAACTTTTGCAGGTTACACTTTTTGAACCCTGTGTATGTACCCGTTTAAAATTTTCGTATTAAAAGCAAAAAGTGAACAATCAATTCTTTGTATCATTTATTCCATTAGATTCCAGAAATGTTGCTACAGACAAATTGCATGTTGCATATTCTTCAAACAAATTGCACCGCAACCTCGTGTACCTTTTTTACTGGTATTGAAAATAATTGTCCAAAAAGATACCTCATAATCAAAGCAGGCTAAGCAACATGTATATAGCTCGTGTTATAGCAATCTGAAGACAGTTACTGTCCCCTTTTTTGTTTTTTCATAAAACAATTTAAACTAAATTTTCCTATACATAATAATAAAACTGTTACTTCTACCATCCTCGAAAATCTCAACCCCATTATCCTAAATTCTACTTCACCCAAGAAGGCAGCAACTCAAACAATGCTTCCATCAAACGGCCAGACACCTCTCTCACTCCCTATATTTACATACACTCATCTGTAAATTATCAAGTCAACAACCACTCATCCGTATCCGTCAACGTTGGCACAAATTTGCTAGCAAGTTTGCTTTTGCCGATATGCTAGAATCTGAAACACCAGAGGAAACAAAATAATGATATTCAGACTTGATTTTATTCGAAATGATTGTGACCCCTTAATTTAAGAATACTACATATGGATATAATTAGGAGCCATTCTCAAATAAGCTTAAAGAATACTACAAGACACAGATAATATACTAACCAAATGATTTCTTCCAGAACTGCTCTTGACTTTAAGCCCTGCCAAAGTTTCTTGACCTTCCAAAATTTGTAGCGCATCCTCTGAGGTCAAAGGAGTTGGGATGGCGTGGTTGTCATCAGTGTTGTATTGTCCCTTTACCATTAGGATTTCTACTTCTTCAGCTCGCAATGGTGTCTGGAGAGCAATGTACTGTGCAACATAATCACTATAATTTTTAGACAAGCATCATAGAAGTTGAAGCCTACTAAGAAAAAACCTAAATGATAGATCCTTAGAAATGAGGGGAAAAAGGGTTGGAAGAGCAGTATAACATGACAAATGCATCCAGCACACAAATAAGTTAAAAATTGAATGAGTTAAATTCATGTCAGAATTTTAAGTGGATCCAAACCTTACCTATATGGGCACAGCAATTCAAACCCTAGTATTAAGGTGGCTGGGTTGGATTTGGGTCAATTGAAATCAGTTGCTCTCACATCAGAAGTTAAGTGGACCCCAAAAGCAACTCAAACACTATGTAAGGTGACTGGATAGGATTTGGGTCCAGTGAAATCAGATTTTGCCCACTTTACATGCCACTATCTTTCTATATAATTCATTATACCAATTCAACCAATGCAAATCAGCATTTGGAGAATGTCAAAGGCTCATTAAAAAAGGTCATTTTCCTAGCATCTACCTTCAGCTGCACAAAGATTAAGACAGTCTACATATTAAGATGGTGGGAAAGAAATCTCACTTCGCATAGCTGCTTAACTGACAGACTGGGCCGACAACAAAGGTAGGGTTGCTGCAAACTGGAAGTACTTTGTTCATCCACAGATATAAGCTTGAGATGAACATCCAACTGCAGGCAAAGAATACGCTTTAGTTATACAAAATGTGGAACTGCATAGAGAATGGGGAAGAATAAAAGGGAAAAATGAAAAAGAAACGGGGGTGGGAGGGCGGAGAGCACGGAGAGAACAATCCTACAGCAATAGTGGCAGCTTAATACCAGTGATTGACCTAATCAGATTTCATAAACCAATAAAGAGTCCAACAGTGTCCTGTCATACCTCATCATTGCTTTCCTCCAAGCTCCGCAGGTACTCTACCAGTCTGCTTAAGCGAGCACGAGAACTCTTGCCACTGCCACCGCCAGAATTTCCATGTCGGGTGTGACTCCGAGCACCACCTGCCCCCCAAGCAAGCTTGTCTGTGTTCCAGACAAGCCCAGGAGAAATTCCTCTGCTGTCTCTAGACACTTCTGTATCATTTTCAACACAGCCACCATCTGAGTTTACCACTGATGAAGAAGGCTGGGATGGCCGAATTCCAGCCCGTCTTTTGCGCCTTCTCTGCCTCCCTTCCGTGCAGCGCTCATCAGTCGAAGATGAATCTTTGCCTCCATTGTCATCATTTTCATCCTCATTGTCTTCAGATCCTTGATGCTCAGCCCCTCGAGAGTTCCGTCTCCTACGTGGATGAGTACTGCGATGATTGCGTTGTGACCTAGTCATAAAGCCACCTGTGCTCTCTTTACCAAGACTACGTCGTTTAACGAGTGCTTCTGATTGTCTCTGAAATATTTGGGCAATTGATGCTTGAATCTGTACGACAAAACATTGAGACAACCATTTGGAAGAACAGAGAATATGTGTCAAGGTCTTGAGCTTATAATAGTCCAAAGATAATTCCCAGAACGGAGCAGTGAAGAGGGAAAAAGGCTACCAAGCAATCATCATTTACCAGTCTATCCAGGTCACTATTTAGGACAAGGAATTGAGTTCTTCCATTTTTGGTATGACAACCCAGATCAAAGTCAAAATGACAAATTGCAACAATAACACTTGTATATGCTTTAATAATTATACAATTGTATAAGGAATGCACATAATGCAAGTAACATCAGGAAATTCATGTTAAGCATGTTTCAAGCTAACTGTATGAACAGAAATCACCACCCTTATCTGCCAGGACTCCTATGTACATATAGGACATAGGATGATTGACCTTAACCATGAACGCAAGCACAGTAGTGAAAAATAAATGCATGTAGTAAAAAACGTACAATATATCTGACCTGCTTATTGCGAGTCCTTTCTTCTTCATGAAAAGCCAATTCCTGAGACCAAATGCACAGTACCAGTATTTGATTAGCAATATCATGATGTAAGAAAGTCATAGCAGCATGAACGAAAAAAATACCCACTGAGCAAGCAAAAAGAAGAGAAAGGAAAACTCATACCTCCTCTTCATACTTATCAATATCTGGATATAAAGCTGCAATTAATGCATCATAGTTTGGATCATCCCTGAGAGAACGTCGACTTGCACAATGTGTACGGCAAGCAGGACACTCATTGTTCCTGCAATCAGAAGCAAGTAATCAATTTGATTCTATGAGTCATCTATCCATAAAATTTTCAAACATTTACAAAATTAACCCAAACAAAGGCAAGACAGTAACAATCCATTTATAACATACCCCAGTCGCATTGATTTATCAATGCATTCTCTGCAAAAACGATGCAGACATTCCATTACAGTTCTTGTTTTCTTTATGATTCCTGTACACACAAAAAGAATAAATAATGGTCTACCAGATTTATGTCCCAACATGTATGATAGGAAAATCTGACTGAGCTAACTAATCACATGAGGGTGTCAGAGCTTCCTTCTGATCAAATTCCAGAGCTACCTAACAAACTCCAATGCACTATAAATACCTCAAGCAATAACCAATGGGATAACAGCTGATTACATAACAGCAAGATTACAAGTAGACTAACAAGCATACCTTGATGCAATCAGATATAGCAAACATTTGTTTCCTGTATGTGTCTCCATAATTAAGCATAAGCAGCACATCCATATTACACGTGTGAATACAAATACTTTGGAATTACCCTTTCATGGTTTTTCCTTCAGAGAAATCATCTTTGTATATTTATATATATTCAACTAAATTCTGTTTTATAGACATGATAGGTCTAAAATATGACTAACCAACCTCCCCAGCTACAATGTACCTATCCCAAAAAGCCCCCAAATTGATAAGTGCTTTAATAATACATGCTATTATGATCTAAATTATCTGCATTTCTTAAGTAATCACTTCTCCTATTTCACTAAGGCTACGTTTGTTTTGCAGTAAAATGTTTTCTGGAAAACATTTTCAGGAGCTAAGGCTGTTTGGAAGACTGAAAACAAAATCAAAATATAAAACATTTTACAGGTCAATGGGAAAAAGACCCGTTGACCCTGTAAATTGTCTTATGCCTTGAAAGGGAGTAAGACAATTACCAAAACACAAGCTCCCTCTCTGTCCCGACCTTCTTCTTCCTCTCCCCTCCTTGTGTCGCAACCCTCCATGTCCCAATCCATTTTCTCTCTCACTTGATCTGATACTTCTCATTCCTCCTCCCACCACTGACAGCAGCATCGCAAGTCGTCTTGACCAGCAACCTTTCCTTTCTTTCCTTCTTTCCTCTCTTTCTTTCTTTCTTTCTCCTTTTTGGCTATCAAAACTCTATCTCTTTCTCTCTCCTGTTGCAGCGGCCACTAGTGGCCTGCACCTCCCACTCTCTTTCTTTTCCTCTTTTCTTTCTTTATCTTCCTTATCTTTTCCTCTTTTTCCTTTCTCTTTCTCCAAAGAAAACTCCTTTTTCTTTCAATAACCTTTCCCTCTCAAGATCTGCTGTCGGTTTGAAGAGCTTGGTACAAAAATTCAAAACCAACCACAGATACTTCAGTAAGCAGTACTATCCACCCAAAGAGCAGATCTCTAACTTTTAGATTCCACAATTCAAGTTATCATATCACTTTGAAGCTTAGAGACTAGTTAACTACAGTTAATCCCTCATAAATAAATTTTTTTTATCATGTACGTAATTAGAGTAATCTTTCCTCTTTTTTTTCTATTGTATTTTGGATAATATTTGTTGAGTTTAATTAAATTGGTAAGGTTTTTTCCCTAAAAAATGAATAGTGCAAAATATTTTTCATAAGACGATCCAAACAACAAAATATATTTTGGACAGTTTATCCAAAAAGCAGAAAATATTAGATTTTCTCATAAAATATTTTACACATAAAAAATTTTCCTTCAACAAGTTATTTTACAATTACCCAACGGACCCTAAAAACCATGTTATAGAAGTTAGATTCACATAACATCAAAATCCCTTTCTCCTAATCCATTAAAAACAATAATAGAAAGACATGACCTGAATTTAAGCACCCTGAGTCCACAATCTTCATTTATCTTTCTTCCTATCTTCTCAACTTTAGATCTTTTAAGGA